CAGCCTGGCCAATATGGTGAAACCCAGTCTTTAGAAAAAATACAAAAGTTTAGCCGCGTGCGGTGGCAGGCACCTATAATCCCAGCTACTCAGGAGGCTGATGCAGGAGAATTGCTTGAACCCAAGAGGTGGAGATTGCAGTGAGCTGAGGTCGGTGCCACTGCACTCTGGCCTGGGCAGCAGAGAGAGAGACTCTGTCTTAAGCAAGCAAACAAACAAACAAACAAAAAAGAAGCAACATTGGCTAAATCTCAAGGAAAAGAAAATTATGAAGTACCTCTAACTCTTGATAGTAAATGTGTAAAAGCCCATCACCTGTCACCAGCAAAAACTGACTCCATCACACTTCTCCAACCCACACCCATGACTGCATCCTCTTTTCCTCTTTTGGCAAGTCCAAGCAATCTTCTGACATTATATTTGATGTAGAAACTGTACTTAAAAACACTGCATTTTTCTACTGATACAGCGTTTGGCTCTCCCACAGCCCTACATGCTTTGCAAATACTCTAATCCTCACACTAACCCACGGAATCGTGTACTTTTATTGCATCTATTTGATAGATGAGGAACTGGTGGGACAGGCACTAAGTAACCCACCCAAGGTTACAGAGTGGCTAAGTGGCAATCAGAATTCAATCCTGCTATCGGAATGGAGCCCTTGAGGGCTGGCTACAGAGTCTCTGTCTTTATACAGTACTACACTCTGCTGCCTCACATTTTTTACATTTACTAGTAAATATCTGCCCTCATGGTCTCAGATGACAATCTGTCTTTTCTCTCCTGAAATGCCATCTCCTTTTCAGTGTATATAGTTTATGACTACTGACACATTACTATAAAGCAGTTCCATTTCAGAGACTTCTGAACACTAAGAAATAGAAATGTGTTTTTCCTAGATTTGAAGACAGTAAAATCTGGGACTCTTTCTCTTGATTTTTTTTATTTCCATTTTCTTAAATGCTACTTTATGAAAAAGTTTAATTTTCAAAAAGTTAGGGTATTTTGGCGATACCCTAGCAGCTATTAAAATAACCACTGTGAAATTAAGTAAGCCTAATGATTAGTTTACGTTAGTATGATAACCTCTCTGAAAACAAAAACTAAAACAATAATAAATGGTACTTTTAAAAACTTCCAGTAATCAAAACAGAACTGTGGAAATATGCCTCTTCATGCTTAAGGCAAAGATATTTTTCCCCCTTCCAAATTAGTTATGTGGAGTGGTTTTAATTTTTGAATTCGAAAGGTAATTAATGGGAAGAGAAATGGCAGAAGAGGCAGGAGAGACATTAAGCAGCAAGAGTGATAGAATGCGTGAAAAGGAAGAGGACAGACTATGCTTTTAAAGTGGAACACTGTCGACTGATGATTTAAAAGCAATATTCCAACGGGATTAAGGCCAGGACTAGGACCTTTATATGCTGATTGAAGTTCTGATTTAAGCTCCAAACAGTAGTTGTCTCCAACAGAGAGCTCTTATTTAAAATGATCCTTTACTAAAAGAACTTCAAATGATCTTACAGGTGCTTTTAAAAAAGGTATTTCTAAAATTTTTTGTGAAATATTCTGTCTCAGTTTCAGAAACTCTTTCCATTTTTTTTAAAGATCAACTTAGAAACAAAGGTTCTAAAAATACTGACAGATAACATGAATGCCTGGCAAGAGGGTAAGGACAGGAGGGCTGATGTTCACAGAGCACTACTGCATGACAGGCGCCGTCCCAGGAAGCTCACTGAGACCTCATCTGTTTGTTCACCATCACGTTTTGGCACTTTCCACAGTACCACCGGGCGCAGTGCAGGCACTCAGCTAATGGCTGCTGAGTGGTCAGTTAACAAGTGGGACAGTCTATACAACTGATAATTGAACTACAGTGACCTTTTAATTCCCATGAATGTTATTTTTCCATATTAGAGAGAAGAAAAAGATCTGACTTCCAAGGCCAAGCCACCAAAATTTTCATGTGGCTAATTCACATCAGATTTCATTCTGAAAATTTCCTATATTAACTATCAGTTATCTGCCTAATGACAAATGTATTTATTTCAACTAATGCTTTATGGTCCCGTCACATAAATTAAGATACAAAAATCTAGTTTAGCACTGTTGCACCTTAGACATCCTCCATACTGTTAACAGCAGGGAATTGCTACCACACAGCCTATAATCCTCTTGGCAGTGTCTGAAATTCTTCCAGATTCTGTCAAGCTTCAAAACTGAACAGCACCACTCACAAACCAACTTTTACCTGCTGGCTTCCAGGTTTTCTAATACGCATTTCCCCCAACCAAGGTCCCCCCACCCGGAACTAATGTTTAAAATTCTCGAGACGCGTGGCACCCTTTGGCTGCATAGCAGTCAACAAATGCCTCTTAAAGCCCACCGAACTCCTTCACCTAAAACCTTGGGGCAATTTCATGACCTTGCAGGGTTACGGTTTCAGCAAGTGGTTTCAAGGTAGTGCTAGGTGTCCTTCCCTTCCCCGCCATCAGACAGATCTGTAGGGTCCCTTCTGCACCAGGACCACCCTCAGGGGCATCGAGGATGCTCGCCTTCGCCGTTCTAGCACCCAGCAAAGCGCCTGCAACACGGGAGGTGCTCGACGGCCAGCTCTGTGACTCGCTCGGACCTTAAAGGATCAGTCTGCCCAGCGCTGGAGGGCTTCGCGGGGCGTCAAGGACAGAGAGCACAACTTAACCTTCCCCTGGGTTGTCTCTCAGGCCCCCGTTCCCTTGCAGGTCCCGAGACTGGGGGCCTGGCTCGCAGCGGAAGCTCAGGAAGTACTGATTAGCTGAGGGAACTCGAGGCCGCCCAGACGTCAGTTTGGACTCAGGCCGCAGTCCGGAGGTCCCCGGTGGCCCTCCGGCCTCAGGGGACAGGGCGGGACCTGGCTCGGCCGGAGCCCGGCCCTGCGCACGCCTCGCCGGCTTCAAAGCCGCATCCTGCAGCCCCCGCTACCCCGCGCCTCCGAGGGGCCAGGGGCCCAGACAGGCCCTACGACCCCAGATCGACCCCCGCGCCCATCCCCGCTTCCCTGCCCCGTGCCCGAGCTCTTCCATCCCTTGCAGTCCTGGCGATCTTCCCGCAAGCTCTCATACCATTGCGGCTGCAAGGTCCAGGCCGACAGCCCAGAGACGCCGGCGCGAGAAAACATGGTAGCCGCAGCTCCGCTGAAGGTCGGTCACTCAGGCCGCAGCGCGCGTGCGCAGAAGCTTCCCAGCACGCCCCTCCCACCTCGCTCTCTTCTTCAGTCTCATTTCCTCGCGCTACGGCGAAGAGAGTCTCGCGAGCGTTGTAACCCAGTCTTCCCAGGCCCCACCTCCTTCCGCCTCTCAGCAGGGATTTGTCCCGCCCACCGCCGCCAGCCCGGTTCCATTTCCGGCTGGCTGGGCACTGGGGTCCAGAAAGTGATCGCTGCCGTGGTCGCCATGGGGAAGTCGGATTTTCTTACTCCCAAGGCTATCGCCAACAGGATCAAGTCCAAGGGGCTGCAGAAGCTGCGCTGGTATTGCCAGATGTGCCAGAAGCAGTGCCGGGACGAGGTGAGTGGGCCCGGGCTGGCCCGTCTTCCCAGGAGGGCCCCTGGGAGTCCAGGATCAGGTCCTGGATGCGGGCCCGAGGGCTGCCAGTAACACTCATCAGCTCTGACTTGACTTGGCTCTTAAGAGAAACAGGGTGGTTAGGATTCACACCTCTTTTGGGATCAGGTGAAAAAGGAGAGCTAAGCTCTTTAGTACTACTCATCCAGCAAGCATTTATTGAGACCTACACTGTACGCGGCACAGAATAATACTGTGGTTAAGATTATGGATTTTCCTGGTTTATAGATACATCAGACTGTCAAAATTTAAAGTTAAGCTGGGCCATTTGCCAGCCATGTGTGGTCTTGGCCAAGTTATTTACTTATTCTCCTTTACTTATCTGTAAAGAGGGAATAACAATTCCACCTACTTGTAGGATTGTCGTTGAGTTTTAAATGAGTGAAGAATATAAAGAGCGGCTCAAGGAGTCTGAGCAGATCTTGAAAAGCCTTGTATGCTGCACTATGGAATGTACACTTTTCCCCATTACAGAGGTGGTTGATGGAATGCTGTGCATCCTAGTGCTGTGATCATATTTTCCTCCGGAGATTGGACTGGATTGGGTAAGGGTGGAAGAACACTGAGGCAATTGGAATAATCTAATCTAGTGTTTCTACAAGTGAAGAAAGAGATATTTTAGGTGGGACTCACACTGACTAACATTGTTACAGTTATTCCCTTTAGCCCTCTCTATTAATGAATGTCTATATGTCCATTATCTAATGTCTTAGACTGCTTGGACTGCCATATAAAGTGCAGTAGACTGGGTGGTTTAAATGACAGAAATTTATTTCTCACAATTCTGGATGTTGGGAAGTTCAAGATCAAGGTGCTATCATGGTCAGATTCTAGCGAGAGTCTTCTTGGTTTGCAGAAAGCTTCCTCTTTATCCTCACAAAGCAAATAGAGCAAGCTCAGTAGAGACTTCTCTTCCTCTTTTTTTTTTTTGAGACAGGGTCCCACTGTGTCCATCATACAGGCTGTACCCTCATGACCTTATCTAAACCCAGTCACCTCCAAAGGCCCACCTCATAATACCATCCCCTTGGGGGTTAGGGTTCAACATAGGAACTTTGGGGAGACACAAACTTGCAGTCCATAACCTCAGAGTTAACACTTTAAGTAATTTTGCCATATTTACTTTTTAAAAAATATTTTAAAGTAAATTACAAATATCAGGATATTTCACTTTGAAATACTTAAATAAGCATCTCTAAAATTTCAGAATATTTGTCTATATAACCACAATATATCTCACCAACATACAAAATTAATAGAAGTTCCTCTTTATCATCTAGTACACATTCACACTTTCTCAGTTGTCCTCCAGCTGTTTCTTTAAATTAAGATGCAATAAAAAGCCATGGACTGTTAACGGATTTGGTTATTAGGACCCCTGCCCCCTCTCCAGTATCCCTCATCATCAACATCCTATATAAGGTGTGATATTTGTTCCCATGGATGAAACTATGTTGACACATCAGTATCGTGCAGAATCCACAGTTCACATTAGGATTCACTCTTGTTGTACATCCTGTGGGTTTTGACAAATGCATAATATATATTCATCGTTATAAAATCTCACAAAATAGTTTCACTGCCCAAAAAGTCCTCTGTGCTCTGGGTTATTAGGACTTTTAGTTTTCTCTAGATTTAATTCTCTCTATATTCTAAATTTAGAATAGAACCCATTTTTCCTCCACCCCTTTTTCTTGTTTTTTTGAGACAGAGTCTTGCCCTGTCAGCCTGGAGTGCAGTGGCGTGATCTCAGCTCACTGTAACCTCTGCCTCCCAGGACCAAGTGATTCTCATGCTTCAGCTTCCCAAGTAGCTGGGATTACAGATGCCTGCCACCATGCCAGACTAATTTTTGCATTTTTGGTAGAGGCAAGGTTTTGCCACATTGGCCAAGCTGGTTTCAAACTCCTGACCTCAGGTGATTCACCTGCCTCAGCCTCACAAAGTATTGGGATTACAGTCGTACGCCACCGCCCCCAGCCTTCTTTTTCTTCACATTGACTTGTTGAAAAGAGGAGCCTGAGCCATTGCCCTGTAACATCCCATGTATGTTGACTTGTTTCCTCTCCTTGTCTTTTGCCTTTTTTTTTTTTTTTTTTNGATGGCTAATATTTCAAATATTGGAGGTTCTATTATTTCTTATATGTTAACAGAAGTGTATTCTCTCTGCTCAATTTTTATCTTCTTTTTTTTTTTTTTTTTGAGACAGAGTCTCACTCTGTCGCCAGGCTGGATGGAGTGCAGTGGTGCTATCTCAGCTCACTGCAACCTCATTCTCCTGGGTTCAAGCAGTTCTCCTGCCTTAGCCTCCTAAGTAGCTGGGATTACAGGTACATACCCCCACGCCCAGCTAATTTTTGTATTTTTTGTAGAGATGGGGTTTCACTGTGTTTGCCAGGATGGTCTCAATCTTTTGACCTTGTGATCCACCCTCCTCAGCCCTCCAAAGTGCTAGGATTACAGGCGTGAGCCACTGTGCCCAGCTGCCTTTGCCTTCTAACTCGTGGTTTCTGTCAACTGGAAATTACATCTAAAACCTTTGACTGGGTTAGGTTAAACATTTTGGGGAGAAAGAATACTTTGTAAGTGACATAGATTAGGTTCAGGTTAAACACTTAGAGGGAGGAATATTGTTGGGTTTTTTGTTTGTTTGTTTGTTTTTGAGGTAAGGTCTTGCTCGGTAGCCCAGGCCAGAGTACAGTGTGCGATACTGGCTCACTGCAACCCTGACCTCCCCAACTCAAGCAATCCTCCTCCTGCCTCAGCCTCCCAAGTAGCTGGGACCACAGGTGCATGCCACCATGCCTAATTAACTTTTTTATTTTTATAGAGATAGAGTCTCACCATGTTTCCCAGGCTGCTCTCAAACTCCTGGACTCAAGCAATCCTCCTGCCCTGGCCTCCCAAAGTACTAGGATTACAGGCCTGAGCCACCATGCCCATTGTATAGTATTCTTTATAGGTGATCTTATATATTTCATACAGCATCATATAAGGAAGCCAATATTGTTTGGTAGTACTTAAATTGAGTAAAGGTTACAGCTTGTAAGTAGCATTAGAAAGTAATATTTTCCCCTTTGTAAGCGCAAGTGACTAATGGAGTAATATTTAGAAATCATGCCTATATATCTAGTTTCCCATTAACATTTTACTGGTGTGTTTTAACATCCTTGCCTAAGTCAGTTATTTAATTAGGAGTTGCTAAGAGGTTATTTTTCTAATTTTTTTTTGACGTTTATTATTGGCTGCCATGCTTTTGCACAAAGGAGCTTTTGCTCATCAGTTATGGCTATTTGGTTATCCTTAAACTTATTTTTTTTCTTTTTGAGACAGGGTCTTACTCTTGCCGAGACTGGAGTACAGTGACTCAATCATAGCTCACAGCATCCTCCAGCTCCTGGGCTTAAGCAATCCTCCTGCCTCAGCCTTTCAAGCAGCTGGGACTATAGGCACACCATACCACCCTTGCCTGGCTAATTTTTTAAAAAATTTTGTGAAGATGGAGGTCTCACTGTGTTGCTCAGGCTGGTCTTGAACTTGGAGACTCACACAATCCTCCCGCCTTGGCCTCCCAAAGCGCTAGGATTATGGGCATAAGCCACTGTGTCTGGCCATCCTTAAACATAACACTGAGATGCAATTTTTATGGGAAAGGAGTAGAGGATGAATTCTTTTTTGTAATTACCAATTTTCAGAGTCAGGCCTCTATGGTGGTTCCATGCCTGTTTGCCCTCAGATCTATTCATTGCCCTTTCCTACCTAGAAGGTGGGCTGGGAGAGGGAGAAGGTGACCCCTACAGTTTCCCTTCCCTGTCTTTTGTCTCCTGATAGTGGAAGATAGAAGAGAATGAAGGTCATAGCCACGGTGTCCCCCTGATTGACTCTTGGGTTTCTAGGATTTAGTAACTTTATTGTTTGTTCATTTTATTATTATTTTTTAATTTATGGAAAGCAATGCTTTTTTTATTTATGAGGCTGATACCACGTTTTCTTTTAAAATAAATTTAAATAATAACTGTGATTCTTATAGGTAATATACACAAGAGGCAAAAATTATGTAAGAGGTCCACGGTCTAAAGATTAGGAAACTGCTTGAGCAAATTCGATCGTGGAAATCTGGACAGTGTCAGCGAGATCGAACAGAGGGACTGGATATGGGTTGTTAAGAGGCCGAACAGACTTCCTATTAAATTGAAGGTAGAAGGAGAAGAAGGAATCTAGGATGTTTTCTGGTTTCCTGGCCTGAGTGAGCGTGCTTAAAATAGAGATAGGGAATACAAGAAAGGCACATCTTTTGTTTCTATTACTAGTGAAGAATGAGGTTCAAATATTAAGGAGAGGTAGATACTAAATGAAAACTTGTATGTTTTTTTCCAGTTATTTTAAGAAGGTACAGATTTAATACGTTTAACAGGGCTAATAGAGTATGCAGCAATGTATGTTGGATAGTGAGCTGAAGTAGAAGAAAGTGAGTGAAAGTAGTTTCTGTGAGGGAAATTCACTAATAACCCATTTTACTGCTTTAAACACT